ACGAGAGGGAAGAGGGTCAGAGGGAGAAGCAGACTCCCTGCTGAGCAGGGAGCCCGATATGGAACTCTATCCCGGGACTCCAGGATCATAACCTGAGCCGAAGGCAGTCGCTTAACCAACTGAGCCACCCAGGCACCCTAAAGGAAATTTCTTGAAAACTAATTTGGAAATCCAAAAAACAATTTGTGCTCAAAAATTGATAAAAGCAATATTGTGCAAGAGCAGCCAGTTCGAAGCTCCTCTTCCTCCATGGAAACATCAAAAGCCAACTGAAAACTGCCAGAACCCTCGGGAAAAAAAAATCTACATCAACCAAGTAAACACCACATTAAAAAATAAAAAAAAATCACAACTTAAAAATGATAAGAAAGGGAGGTACCTGGGTGGCTCAGTCATTAAGCACCTGCCTTCACCAGGGTCCTGGCATCGAGCCCCGGGTCAGACTCCCTGCTCGGCGGGAAGCCTGCTTCTCCCTCTCCCACTCCCCCTGCTTGTGTTGCCTGTCTCACTGTATCTCTCTGTCAAATAAATAAAATCTTAAAAAAAAAAAAAGATAAGAAAGGTTTTTGGTGCTGCCCTACCATTTACTCTGCATGGTAGAGGTCCTGAAGATAGGCCACATCCCAAATGTGAGACCCTGTTCCTGCTTCTGGATGGAGCAAAGACGACCTTATTTGCAAAATACTGTGTTTGTGCTAGTCTATCTAAGGCTCATAAAAGAACCCATGTACACATAGAACACTTTAATGTCTGTTTCCTCGGAACTGATTTATGGTAGAAAATGGTAGGCAATGGTGAAATACATTGTAAGGTGATAGAAAACCCCACAGTTCTTAGGAGCAAAGATTATAATGGAAACATAAACAGACAAAGTAAGACAAAGTAGCAAAAACTAGAGTGGCTTTCTTTGGGGAGAAGAGGTTAGGATATTGAAAAGCAGCCAGAAACACTGAAGGAAAAGTCACGTGAATGGTCATGATGGGACAAATACTAAAAAAATACATGACACTAAGCTTTCACCTAGGGCTTTTATATATATATATATATACACACACACACACACACACACACACATACATACACACACACAGATAGATAAATATATACATACTTATATATATGGTAATACAATCAGAAGTGAACGATGGAGAGAATTATAAATGTTTTCAGATAGTTTTAAAGGAACGTGCTAACAGAGATCCAATTTGCAAAACAGATTTTTTTTGTATTTTGTCAAAATACTGGCACAATGTAATCTAATCCTTCAACAATCAAGAAGACCAAGTCCTGGAGAAGAGGATGGATCTAATTTCCAGTTAGAACATTATAAAATTTAAAGATAAGTTTTCAGGCGGAAAAAATCACAAAGTATACAAAGGAATGAAAAAGTATGGCCAATCCAAAGGAAAGAAATAAATTGTCCATGAAGAAGCCAGACATTGAACTTTCTACAAGATGTGAAAACACTTTTTTTTTTTTAAAGATTTCATTTATTCATTCATGAGAGACAGAGAGAGAGATGCAGGGGCAGAAGGAGAAACAGGCTCCCTGTGGAGCAGGGAGCCTGATGCGGGACTCGATCCCAGGACCCTGGGATCATGACCTGAACTAAAGGCAGACACTTAACAACTGAGCCACCCAGGCGCCCCTTCCCCTTCATTTAAAAAAAGATTTATTTGACAGAGAGAGACACAGCG